TTCTTAAATCGGTGAAAATTTAAAAATGACCTAGGTCAATTCAAAATCGACCTAAATTGTGAAACGACGTCGAACATTACCATTTAGAAATAATTATTTACAAGCAGATTTGTCTGTAAGCCGTTGTGAAGTCGATCATTGCCTGAAATTACCCACGCTGCTTGAAGTTGTCACTTCAATTTTTAATTATTGCTCGATCATAGACTTTATTTCTATAATGAAGAAACAAATGAGAATAGAACTGCTATCTCTATCATATAATAATACAGAAATTATGTGAAAAAAACTAAACTAACTTCCGAAAAACACGACTATCATAGTCAATAAAACATACAGCGTAACAGGGAAAAGTTACTAACGACCCGAGCTGGACAACATACCAATAAATATGTCCTAAATATATTTTTATAGCTATAAGAAAACGGAAATATCAGCAATTGTCGCTTACACTATCACTACAGCCGTGGAACCTAGGAAAACTATCAGTTCTGGTCTTTGCACTATCATAACAGCCACGGAGCCTAACACCTGCATATTTGAACACCTCAGCGGTAAAAGGCGAAAAATCAATTCTTGGGAAAGGATTTGAAAAACATTGCCACTATATAGTAGATTAATTTAACATAGAATCAGTAATAGGTAAACAAGTTTATAATCGATCAAAGAAATACCTTGAAGTTGTGACAATTTAAAAGAATTTTTGTATTTTGTTCCATGATTATTGAAGATACAGCATATTAACATTTTAAAACTCGTGTATATTTATAAATTTGAAATCATGATAAACATTATAAACAACATAATTTAACAAATTATGAAAGCATTCATTATCGAACTCATCCTAGACTTTAGCTCCATTAATCAGAAAATTGTTACTTGATAATGCTCGTAAATGTATCCGAATTTTTAATAGGTCATATACATTATGGTTTAGGAATGAGTTATAACTCACCGTTCATGCTAAACGTATTAATATAATAAATGGAAAAATAATACGATGAATTTAAAACTATGACATTTTCATTCATAAATATGTATTACACTAGAAAAACGATGACCACCATCTGAGATCCATCGACCTGATATCTCAAAACGCGAGAATCACCTGCAGGATTAGAACTTTATTTTCATCATTAAGAATATGGATTTGAAACAAAATACAAGGAGCACAAAAAATATATTAAATTTTCTTATAAAATTTGTCAATTAGCAAATGCGGGATCAACTTAGGAAAGAATTGCGTAAGAAAACCAGATTGCTTTAAGATATGTTTATTATTGCGAAGACTCATATATAGTTATTCTAGAACATCGAGAATTGGATCTTATTAAGTAAACTCAAAGCATTACATCATTATAATATGAATAGCAAACATTAGTTATATTGACATCATTTTTTTTGTAATTATTAAACAACTAAAAATCTTGAATTTATATTATTCTTTGTAGTGCATATACATTGTTAAGTCTTACACTGTATTTATTTCTTATAGTGGTAACAAACTAACACCTAAGTAAATTTCTAAATTTATTATTCCATTGACTTGAATATATACGCCACGCCATAATAATCCAGCAAACTAATGATAAGGATGCAATGCTGCTTTTTGTATTTTCCATAAATCTAAATCGATTCCATCAACTGCATCGGGAGGAATGCCATTAGGAGTACCATTGTAAAGTTCAGCAGCAGGAATATTCAATTGATAATTTGGAATTCTAGGGTCATTGTAAGCAATTGCATTAAACCTTCCTACGCCAGTAATATTAGCATCTGGAACGCCAATATTATTCAAAAGAAAATCTATTGTTTGATTGTGAAGAGGTGCATGCCGAAAGAAATTACAATATCTGGTACTGTTGGATATTGATTTGTACGTAGATAACGCATTACAAGCATTGCTCTTGTATGATCCTGGCGAATGGGAAATAGCTTGATAGCAAGGTAAATTTGAATAGTTGTTCGTGATGAAAAATACCTTGCTGAAAGATCATGTAAGCTGGAGATAGTTTCGGTAGTACCAACTTCAATAACCATTGTTGGATATGCTACCCCGCTCGAGTTAGGTTCGCGACCAGGATGAGGTAGAGGAAGATCACTTGGCCGAATGGTAAGATCAGCTGTACAGTAACTTGATTCCAAGATAAGATCTTCTTCAACCACACTTAACAATTGATCATCCCAGTCATTTATCAAAATTAAAAATTTGCTTACTACCGCACCATGATCCGTGAGTGGTACTTCACAAGCTATGATGCAAACATGGCGTCGAAACGAAACCTACCCGAAACTAGTTTCGGAAGGGTTCTAATCCGAAACTAGTTTCGGATTTTTTAAAAAAAATCCGAAACTCTGAAACCCGAAACCCCGAAACTATAATCCGAAACCTAAAACTATAATCCGAACCTTAAAAATATAATATACAATTTTTAAACTTATATTTATTTTAATGATATACTTAATAAACAAATATATTTATAAAAATTAATACAAAATATAAAATAAGGTTTATATAATATAATATAAATA